GATACGTTTGAAGGTTTCAGAAAAAAACAAGCTGCGAAGTCTCAGGAACCTACTCAAGAAATCATGGAACCTGAAATGGAGGAACCTGAAATAGAAAAACCGTCAATTGACGAAATCAATATTTCGAAAAAAAATTTAAAATCGCAATATCAAGATAAAACACGTAAACGTAAGAAAATATGAATTGACGAGAAGGAATGTATGTTGCAAATCACAAGAAACTTTTATCATGTGATAGTATTTTTTTTTTTTTTACGTTTCTTATTATAGATTTCTATTATTGAATTTGTTGTAAATATTTTATTTTTATTTTATTATAATAATAATAAACTTGATATTCCGGGGCAGTTTAATTTTTCAAAAAAATAAATTTATTATAAAATTCGTGTAACCTGATCGGCCAATCACATGAAAGTCTTTCCAAATTACCGATTTTAGTATTATTTATAAGGCAATTATTTTTTTTAAAAAAAGTGTTAATTTTCACTTAGTTTGTATATATGACCGACAACTATCCTAAAGAACAAGAAAAATAGACAATACCAAGGAAGAACTTGAAAGAAGAAAAATACAGACATACGAAAGATTAGAAGAAAGTATCGAACAAAGTCGAGAAAAGAAATGAGGAAACGATTAGACAAATCGACGAAAAACGATTCAATCAATACACTAAATAAGAATATGTAGAAGGATACGTAAATTATCAAAGGAAAATAGATCAGGAAATAATGAAAATGCTTTATTCTATGGAACGGGCAGAAAATGGGAAGAAAAGAGAGGAATATGTAGACAATCATCAGTCAGAAGATTAGAAATAAGGAAACTAGGACAGAAGCAGCCTATGCATGCTTAAAAGATATTGTTCAAAAGTAAGTGTGGCAGCAGTAGGACACATAAGAGAAGACGTAGAGGCACAAGGAAAGATATTCCAGGATTACATACAGGCAGTAAACGAAATCGAAGCAAAAGTACGAGGCAAAATTTATTCATTTGATGATGAATATGGGGATATCAAAAGATGGATATTAAAAGAATTAGAATTATTCAAGGATTTAAAATTAAGATACGAACAGGCAGACGCACAAGAAACACAAGGAGCACAATATCGACTAGGAACAGTCACGGAACGAGAGATATTTGACGATCAGGAATTAAAAGAAGAATGGATGGATAATGATAAACCGAAATGGTCACAGAACAACTAGTAAATGAACGACTTTTATGAGCAGGAGTAGACCTATGTAGAGAATGTTTAATGCCAAAAGCACGAGACCAAAGAGATTATTGTATCGAATGTGAAGAAACGATTTGGAATCAGCAGAAACAAGCACATGATCAAACAAAACAGGCAGTACAATTGACAGACAAAATTACGGAAATTCGATATATTATGAGATTGAAAGGGACCAAAAAGAATTTTATTTTACGAAAAATCAGACGAATTTTAATGGCAAATGTGAAACTTGTAAAAGAAACGATAGCAAAATACTTTACAAGTCAAGAGATAAAAGTTGTTACATTAATCAGGCAGTAAAGGATAAGAAGTATAATGAAGTAGATTTGGAATTTTATGAAAGAACAGATCTTAGTATCAGGATACTATAAGTATTATGGATACTGTAGAAGCAAGGAAACTTGTGTAGTTTTCAGAAAAAAACAGGCAGGAATAAGACCAGCATGACAGGAACCGGAATTAAAATAACGGATAGGAAATTTTAGAATAGTAACAATTATTTACCTTTTTAAAATGTATAAATAGGCAATAGTTTAGCTATTCTAACCGAACGAGAAGAAAAAATTGTAATTTTCTCTTATTCTGTCAAAGAACAAGAAAATTAGACTGTCTAAAAGAACAAGAAAATTTAATCCGTCTAAAAGTTCAAAAAAATGGTCTTTCTAAAAGTACAATAGATTATCTAAAAGAACAAGAAAATTTAGTTCTATCTAAAGAACAAGAAAATTGTTCTGTCCAAAAGAACAAGAAAATTAGATTGTCTAAAAAAAAAAAATTTCACAAAAAAAAAAAATTTACATTCAATTTCATAAACTGTACCTATTGTTCAGTTTTTGGTCATTCGCTTGGGAAGAGGCAACCTTTACAGTCTCAAGCTTTTTGGAAAGCAGTCGGTTGAGTTGCCTTATTTTATGGTTCTTTTATAGATTTTGGGAAAAAGGAAGGAAAAACATCAAATCAGATATTAAGATTTCGAATGCGTGAATTTTGGTTCATTCTGAAGCGTCAAAAACATTAAAATATTTCAGCATCGCCAAACTTGACCAGCTTGATTAATTAATTATCCAAGTTTTTTGGGGGTAGAATAATAAGATAATGTTTATTTTACATTTTGGTGTAGGATTTTACGGGACAAAGTTGGGACATTTGGACATATTAGGAAACATAATAGGAATGAGCTTAGAAAACTTGATTCATTTAGGAAGGAAATACATTTATACGATTATAAGGTAGTTCCTTAATCGTTTTATTTATCTACAAATTAATCAACATAAATACATCAACATCATATCATCAACATTACCTCTACCGTCATCAACTCATCAACTTCACCACAATCAACCTTACCACCCATCATCAACGACCATTTCGGGATTTTTTTTTTATAACTTTTTTTAGAAATGTAACAATCAATTTATGATATATTTAAAACCTGCAATAAAACTTATTTTTTTTTTTTTTTTTTGACTCTCCTATTACAGTACTTTTCTTTGACCGTTATTTTATTAAGTTTTTAATAAAAATATCTTAATTACATTAAAACTAGAAATTTTTTTGCGGACCACGAATCACGTGAATCCTTATGTATAATTGAAATATTATTATACCCATTTCAGTCTGGCATAAATCACTAGGAACTGTGTCATGAATCTTTATTGCTAAACCAATCCTTTCTTACTCAACTACGCTAAATGCTTTTCTCCTACATGGATTGATCTACATTTTTTCGCATGAAAACTTAACCCCTCTAATATAATCTTAAGTCTCAGCCAATCCACAAGCTATAACTAATTTTACCAATACCACCTAAAGAAATGATGAAGAAACAAAATAAGAACTATCGGTTTTGTTCCATACACATTTATAATTTTGGTATTTGGTACAAGATGCTAAAGACGGTTACAGTCATCACTTGTTTAAATATCAAAAAGCATTTCGTAGTGAAGGTATCGGAATGATAACATTACTAGATAACAATTGACAATTATTAATTAGAATTAAATCATAAATTTTCAAAACAAATAAAAAAAAATTGTTCTACCAGGTGATGGATGAATTATTGTTTCTTCATTTCAGCCATCAAGTAGCCAATTTCTCCGAGAAGCTTTCCTCTACATAATCAAATTCATGTTTCAGTCAATGAAGATATTGATATTTCCAGAATTTTACCGCGCTAAATTAGATCATAAGCAATTTTACTTTTCCTTATCAGAAAGTCAAATTCCATCCATGTATAATGATGCGTTAGTAAATAATGATGCCATATAACCCCTATGATAAAAGAACAGCATAAGGGAAATATAATTATTTTATTTACCATTCGAAGTTACAGTACTTCCATTTGTCTAATGATTACACCAGCATCTATAGCAGGGCAATCTCGAACTGAATCTAGCACATCTCCACCACCTTTAATACCTCCTCAAAATCCATCGTCTAAAAATTTCTCATGGAGGAATTTCTCGAATAATTTTAGATTTTCTTGGATATGCATGTATAATAGATGTATTACGATCCGGTAGATATGCAGGATCTTATATAAAGCCATTTTGATAATGATTCGTAAAGAGGTTCAGGAACTATGATAGAAGTGCTTTTAACGATACGTCGACACTAGATCCACTATCCATAAAGGATTGCCAATCTAATACCAAATCCAAATTCAGTTGCAAATTTTAAGTCTTTAAATGTCTAGTGTTATATTTGATGCAGAATTAGCAATGTATAATCTCTCAAAGATTTCATTATATGACCTTTTCAACGTGATAGAATATAAACCCATCATCATTTACTTGAAGGATTCTTTACCAAAGATGAAATGACGACGAGGAACATTGAATTTGAGAACTTCTGCACTAATTGAAAATTTTCCATGGCACCCTGTAATAAGATAATTGATCAGACCAATAATTATGGTTCTGAAAAACTGATATAACATATAAAGATGGCCCATTTATTTGCATAAGAAATTTCTGTTAGTCACAAGAATCAGTTGATGAGGAAACTCTAATATAATATTTATTACATACTTTATTACCTTTTTAAATATCTGATTTTACAAGTTATCTAAACACTTTTAGTTCAAGATTCTTAGCCTTAAAGAAATTCCAATTATTGGGACGAGTGATAGAATTATATATAAAATTCTTGAGGAGTATTTTAATGCAATAAAGCAAAACAAATTGATCTTAAAGCTATAATAATCGCCGTTTGACTTTTTAGCATGAATAAATTTATTTAATTAGAAATTCAAGAAATATATGAAAAAAAAAATCATGAAAAATTAGCTGTTATTTCATTACCATGTCAAGATTTCCCAGCCATAACAAATCACTATCAAAGGAATTGCCAGGACTCGAAATAATATAAACCTCGCTGAATATTCGTGATCAACATATCACGTTTCGTGTTTCACGTGACCACAGATCTGACACCTCAAATTATTGGGTATCCTTAACCTAGGGAGGGGGTGTAGACCTTTATCCTAAACCGCAACTGTATATGTCACGTGATATATACTTTAAAAATATTTATTTATACATAGGGTTAGATGATAAGGGTCTGCACCCCCTTCCTAGATTAAGGACGCCCTAAATTATTAGACCCCTCCTTCCTTTTTTAATAAAAAATTTTAATTGGAAAGGTAAATATTACATAAATAATTAATGAATTTGTTTTATTATTTGTTTACCTCTTTAGTAAAAACACAAATATATATGACACCTTGAAAAATATGATTGTAAATAATGATAATAATAATGTCAAAATTTTGCTTATGCTGCAGAGGCATTCTTCTTAACAATATATTTTTCAGATAAAAAGTCATTCGTCAACTTGACATAATTTAGAAATTTATTTTTGATACTAATTATCTCATATATATATATATACACACCCACCAGTGCATTATATTAATCACAATAGATTTTAGACATTTTGCTCTTCAGAATAAACATCATTATATCCTTTAAGATCTTAATTAGAGTAACCTGCATATCTTTATCTAATATTGCCAAATTACAGTCAATTATAATCAGATCTCTATACAGTCATACCTTTATATAAAAACCTATTTTTGCAAAATGAACTTTAAGCTTATTAATTTACCTTTATATAGTCACAAATTAGTTATAATCACTATCGCCACATGATTTAAAACTACATATCATTTTTGATAGTAATTAAACCTCTCTACAGTCTCAATTTTCTGATTGGCTTATATTAAAAAGATCTAATTAGCTGGTAATTTATGGTAATATGAAATGTAATACCTTTTACACTTAAAAATAAAACACTAAAAAATAGAAGAGTATTGTTTTAGTTTAATTTCAAAGTAGAAATATTAATATTGCCAATACTTTTTGATAAAATTTTTTTTCATACAAAAAAAAGTCCATGTGATAAAACGGTTAGACTTGGACCCTTGAATAGATGAAAAAAATCGCCTAAACTTTTCAGTAAACCTTTCAGATAGGTTAATTCAATACCTAGTGTAATTATCTTTTAATAAAGAAATTTTCCAATTAGCATTCGATCAAAAAAAATTGCGTAATCATTAATACATCAGTTTATTAAAAAAAACCATGCTTTCTACCCGTTGTCCTTCATTTCATGTAATAAGCTCACTTTTTTTTTGAAAAGAAAACGGTTTGTCAGTTCTTATAGTTAAATGTACCTGATCAGATTTTTTTTTAAATAAAAGATATTTGATTTATGCTACATTAAAATAATATCGTTCTGAATCCTTTCACATCAAATTATATATGGTATTATGTTGTGAAAAAATATTGCATGCAAATACCTTTCTATTAGAGCAACTGACATTTTTCTCTGATAATTTTAACAAAAGTTTTTGTATTCTTTTCATGGCGGTACTTTTTATTAATGAGTTTTATGCAAATAACATTTACATACAATATAATACAAATTTTTTTTTGTACCTTTCTGGTCCCTTCCTTTTCAAAATAACTTCTAACGGCTTATTTTATTAAACGAGTTTGTAAATGCCTCCCGACTGATTTAAACAATCTTCTGGCCAACCTAAACAATATTCTGCTATAAGTATCAGTTTATAACATGAAATTTGTGAATGGCAAAAAAAATAGTAACAAAAAGCATCATAAAATTGCAAAATATTTTAATGAAAAAATCTGACATTAAATATTGATCATAGTACTATAACAAAGATATTAACAAATAATGAAAAATAGAGTACTGCAATAGAAATCGAAGGCTCTAGAGAAATCTTCAGACATAGAGGGGTCAAATTTCCATTTCTTGACAATGCTATAAACTTATAGGTAGAAAATATAATAGCAAGTGATGTCATTTTAATGGATTTATTGATAAAGGAAAAGGCAAGATTTTTTGCCAATGCATTTAATATACAAAAAGATAAGTTAGTTTTTTCTAATAGTTGGTTAGATAGATTTAAAAAAAGGAATAATATTCATCAGCATTGTATATATAGGGAATTGGGAAGCACACTGATAGCATCCCTTTCAGAAGAGAGAATTAAACTTCATCAATTATTAAGCCAATATTCTCTAGATCAAATATATAATATTGATGAAACAGGTCTTTATTATAGAATGTTTCCAAATCAAACACTTTTCACTAAACTAGTTCTTGGTCAAAAAAATACAAAACACGAATTATTGTCCTTTTAGATACAAATGCTATGAGAACTGATAAACTTAAGTCATAGGTGATTAGTATATCAAAGCATCCGAAACTTCTCCTACATGTTAATTTAGACTGTCTTTCAGTTCATTACTGTGAAAATCCTAAAGCATGGATGAATTCAAGATTATTTGAAGAAATACTTCTTGATATGGATAGGCATTTTAGAGCATAAAATAAAAAGATTTTGCTCTTAATTGATAATGCTCCACTACACTTTGATCCAAATTATCATTTATAAAATGAAAATAATACTTCAAGCTTGGATTCTACTTCAGGTTTAGATTCTACTTTAAATTTGGGTTCTATTTTAAATTCTGCTTCAAGAAAATGCGGTAAGTTAAGTATTTTTTAAAATTAAAAGTAAACTACAAAAACTTACTGAATTTATACTTTTTTTAAAGAAAATCAAGTTTCAAGATCAAGAAAACACAATTCTACTCTATCAGATACTCATCAACTCCAGCTTATATATGTTGAAGTAGTCTTTTTACCACCAAATATCACAAATCACCTTTAACCTCTTGATGTCAAAATTATTGCAAGTTTTAAAATCACT